GTTCGTAAGGAATGAAAACCAGACAGACGCAATTGATTCAGTTTTATTGTCATTTTTACTATCACCTCACAGCACAATCAACTTTATTACAAGGAGATATCAAGACTGTTTACCAGTTCCGCGAGTAGCATACAAAGAAAAGGGAACAAGAAAGCTTACTCCGTATATAGAAGATATCAACATTGCACAAGTAAATTGGCTTGCATTTATACCATACGTTTACTTACTTTTCAGAAATATTACACCAATATAATTTTTAATCCATCAATAGGTTACCTTTTCAATAGCGGATATAAGTAGGGAAGATACATGTTGCACAAAGTTTTTCTAGTTCTCTGTGCAAGTATGAGATTGGTTAAGAAATAAAAAAGAAAGGTAAGAGAAAGAATAACTACAAAATACATGCTGTAAAAGAGGATTTCACTTATTGAGGAACAGGGCAATGAATCAGTCAATTGACTAGCATGGTAAGCATTACCGTTATTCAAACAAAGTTCGGCTAATCTATTATATGCGAAGGCATCAAGCACATCAAATAGATCCCAATCTTATAGCCAATTCTGAATATAATCGATGTTGACATAATATTATTTTCGGGTAGAGATCACATATGGAAGAGAATCTGAGTATCTGAGCTATATAAACTTATCTGTGGATAAGGTAATAGAAATAAGAGGTTTCTTGGAAAGAACCCCTGCAAATCAATATGGGTGCAAAAAATAAAGCTCTATTGTGCATAACACGGGAAAACTCGCCATAAGCATTACCAATTTGGCTTTTATTTCTAAATCCTGCAGTTACAGCACTACATAGAACCATAAGGATCAAATTCATATCTGGAATGTGTATCTGCCCAAGGAACTTCTTTGATATATGTACAACTTTGACTCTTGGAAAACATTCCAGGATAAGGGCTTGCTTGATTATTGAAAAAGTAGCAGATATGGTGGCCTCACTGAACCCTCAAAAGTAACTCAATGGTTCAACATTAGATTTGCTCTCCAATGATCACCAGTTCAAATCCTCTTACAACCACTGAAGTGAGTACCCAATTATAAACTTAAAGGTTCCATGGGATTAGTCGATGTATGCATAGACTGATTCGAACACCCATGGTCATTAAAAAAAAAAAAATGGTGGCCTGACTAACAACAATAGCAGCCAAAGTTGCAACAAAAAACATTGGCCAGTATATTCCATTGGATTTTTTTTTTTTTTTTAATAAAGAAATGTAAACTCCTTTGCGAATTTATATTGACTAATAATGGGTATCTCGCTTGATCGCAGTATACTTCATAAGAAAAGAGTTGGATGAAGTATCAATTTTGTTGTTATATAATTGTTTATGAAAACTGCATACATCTTACTAGATATTTTAAAACACTCTCGTACAATAATTTCCAAGTTAGTTCGGATCGATTAAACATGTGTTATGCTAACCAACTAACAACCTCCAACTGCATAACCGATTTCAGCTCGCCAGGCTATCTATCTAAACTAACAAACAACTATCGATAGATTTCAGCAGCAACAGAATTCAGACTGAGGTTTCTTTTCTTGGCTTCTTGAGCCTTCAATTCCAAGGCTTCTATATAAGATTGAATGTTCCAACACGGTGAGACCTGATTTGCACCAAAATACAATACACAGCAAATATCTAAGAAATCAGTAGCAATCCCTTTTTCTCCAACCTAAACTGATTTCTACAATATCATATTAGAAACAAACCTATGTATTTTACTGGATATGCCACCCGGGGTATGGAAAAACAGAACGATAAATGAACCTGACACCTCTGAGCTACCATTCGAGCAGTAACAGTCAGGACAAGCTGATACAGAGGCCATATTATAGCGCATATCAATAACAAAAGCAGGTTAGGTTGCAGCTAGCATAAAATTCATATTTAGTTGCATAATTAGATGCTTTTGTATTCTTAATTCATACTTCAAACCATTATTCAAGAATTCGAATCAACGAAAGACAGGCATGAAAAAGCAAGAGATATGTCTTCAAGCATTATAATATTATGTGAAACTTTAGGATCAATCTTGAATATGTTGCATTACTTTGGAAACAAATTTTCAATAAATATAAATATATCTCAAAACTAAACAAAAGACCCAGTTCATGATACTTACAATGTGGAGAAAATCCCAAAGAAACAAGCACAAATATAAATTATACAGGAATGAATTTGTACATATATCCTAATGGTTTGAGGAATAATCCATCATCATGACAAAGCAAACATTTGATAAACACTGGATTGTGAATTAAATTTTGAAGGCATTTAATGAAATGTTACTATACGGAAACAGAAATAGAGTTTAAATTGAGTATCCAGCTTTAAGTTTCACTTAAGTCCCCCAGGGTTTCAACTATCACAACTTTCCAGTGAACTCAATAATCCTTCCTACATAAGCTGAAGTTATCCTCTCAAAATATCCAACAGTCGATTCACAATTTGACATGCCCCGGAATAGATTTTTTACAAGAAAAGTGGCCGTCTCCTCAATCATTTAGACAAGAGGACAGTCTTACAGCAGGGAAGTTTTTGGACTATAATATGGCAAGATTTAGTGTCAGTCAAAGGTGGACTAAAGTGCCACAAGCCTAGTACCTCGGTTGTGTTTTCTGGTGAAGGCAATACATTACATATTAATGCCTGTGGACTAAATTATTAATAATCTATAATTATTTTGTCACGAAAATTCCTACTCAAGCATCATGATGCAGTCTTATCAAAGCATATGTTATCTCTTGGAGTCTAGGAGCACAAGGCATTTTTATCACACAAGAAGTTTTTGAGGCAAGAAATGAGAACCCCAAAATATAATTGCTTCTAAAAGAACAACACAGACAAAATTGAAGTCTTGATTGCAAATGGAGATAATTCCATAGATTTCCAGTTCCTCTCCCTCCCAGAAGGCCACAAATACACAAACGAGTATTGTGTCCCATTCTTCCCATCCCAGTACAAACCTAGTATCCCTGCCTATTGCATCCACAATATCATCAAGGAATTAGCCAATAATATATAAGTACTAACCAACCATTTTAAGATACCATATCACCATGTAAAATTTCAGTCAAGGTACAAAAACTCAGTCATTAATCCCTTTCTTCCTTTTTTTTGCCCTATTTATTAAGCAGTGAATACAATATTCATAATAGATTAAAATGTTCAAGATGCATCCGACACAAACAAGAAGGCTCTTCAAGAGTGAGTGTACTACTTACCAAATAAGGAAAGAGGGAAATACTTCTCCTCCTCCTTCCTCACTGATGCATAAAAGCCGGCACATATAGGAATTACCATTCATGTAAATCCGTTCACTTGGGATATTGCTTGTGCTAGTCCAGCCAGTTCAGGCAATAATTTCTGTAAGGGTGAGGATATAAAAGACATATAGTTCGATCAGAAGGTTTTTAATTTCCTCAGGAAAGACAAAGGTAAGACGCGTTGTCATTTGTTGTTCGACCATCCAATCTGATAATCTTCACGTGGCATCGTCAAATAATAAAGTCTTGTATGAGAATCTACAATGCACTAGAATGCCCTTGTTAGTTAGATTCCTATTTTAAAATTCACCATGTTAGCTGTTTCCTATCCATTGTAGAAACTGATTAACAGTCGTGTCCTAATTCTACTTGGCCAAAAAATTCTAGTTGACGAGAACTGAAATCTTCAGAGCTTATACACACCATATTTTCATATTTTACAACCAAAATTTATGATTGTAATTTACCAATTCAGTATAAGAACTCCGTGGTTAGCGAATACAGCCCTCTTTCAAGTCATTTCACTAATGCTGCAATTGATGATATGATGTTCTTCCTATCCGCCTTCTGACTTCTTTCTTGTACACAGAATTTTACTAAAATCCGAAAAATCTCATATATAAGAAGCAAAACACAGCAACTCTCTTAACCTTCAGAAGCTGACAAAACTCCATCCACGAATAAATGAAAATTGAAATGGTTAATAAGGGTGTAGTTTTCAGCTTTCAGATTGAATTCTCAATCTCTCCAAGAATTTCTTGTTCCTTTCCATCCATAATGACAAATAATGGAGCGGAATTGGCAAAATTTAAGGTGAAACAAAATTATTTTAGAACAATAATTCATTCTACAGGTACATCAATTGATTTTAATCTCTTTTAATTCTTGTTCAGTATTCCCATAATCCCATTGTATGATCATTGAAGGAAAACATGCCTTATGATCAACATATTGTCAATAATTTAGACCTCCTCTCCGAAAAATTGTAAGAGAAAGAATGAAAGAAAAGATCATAACATAAGCTACAATTGGCTCAAGAGCAATAGCTTTATATAATTATTATAACACACAATCCATGTATGGTGTGACATGAATCTAACCCTTTTTGAAAATATAAAATAAAATCTGACATATATTACAGGTAATGATAATAGCACGCGGTAATTGTTAACAAAACATTGAAAACGACATGCATATCTGACATTATTTTAACAAAATGAACATAAATTGCCAAACCATGAAACTAACCTATCCATTTCAGATTTATTTATTTTTTCCAAGCACCTTAGCACAACAAATACAGAGTCAATTGTGTCTGATTTTCCTTGGTGTTCTCTGTTCAATTTTTTGGTCTTAAACCAGTTGGCCCTAACAACTATTGTTTGATTACAACCACAGTGAACAAACCTTACAGTCAAGTAACTAATTAAAATGAATAGTCTAAATATTGATATAAGAAATAAACACTAATGGGACAAATGAAAAACAGAACTTCCAAATGCACCAAGCCAAAAGCATGAGACAAAGAGAGAAACTATAATTAATTTAGCATATAAATAGACATCCCTACCAAATCACAATAATACCACCATCGCACTATCAGTTCAAATTCTTAATAAATATTGTCACATGTCCCTAGGGCGAAAAGGACAAACAATAAAGGAAGAGCATTTGTCATATAGTTAATCAATATAATCAAGCAATTTGCAAGAAAATTAAGAAACGGAGCGCCTCAATTCTTATTGTAACAGTTAATATAAATGTCACAAAAAACACATTCATTTCAGATATTTTCTTATCTACACAATGTTTTTCTGGTAGCATAAAAGCTAAAAAAATTACAGAAATTTACCCTCTCTAGCACACAATCATTGTCTCACACATCCATGTTTTCCATCTGAATGCTGCTCTTGAGAGGCACATATTCCCCAAGATATCCACCAAGATGATCGTACAGTGCACTCTTATCAATCCCTTGATGATGGTAGCTCTTGCAGACATAGTAAAACACACTCTGCACCAATAGCCCTACAAGATTCACAATCACCAAAACCCCAACTAGGAACCCGCCGACCATAATTCTTGTCAACACCCCATAATGCTCTCCACCGTGCACCACAATTGACCCAAATAGCCCATTGATCACTCCACAAATAGCCAAGTACCCAAAAACCAGTACAAATCCCATGCCAATTTTCCCCTTCAACAACTCATAGCTCTTCTTCATCGCTGAAAATCCATAAATAGGCTCAAGAACAGACACCACACTAGCCAGATGCCACAGTGCACTTATGTAAACATGCACAACTAAAAACAACAAGAACACAACCACAATCGAGAATATAAACAAGACAACGTTCTGAGTGTCCACCGCAATAATCAGAAGCACGAGAAATCCCAAGAAAAAAATATTGTAAAGGACCATAGTAAGAGAAACCCACAAGAAGGTGATGAAGAGCCGCTTGAAGACACTGGGAATGGCTGCCATGGTGGAGGAGAAGGAGACTGGCTTGGAGGTGTAGAGTGAGGCGACGGTGAAGACGACGGCGGCGGTGGACAGGAGCGAGAAGGCAAAAAGGAAGATGAGGTAGCAGAACTGGAAAATAAGGAGCTTGGACCATTCGGAGGAGGCGGCACGGGACCCAGCTGGCTCGGACTGAAGCTGAGTGAGGATAGGGTGGGTGAAGAGCGAGTGGGCCAAGATGGCGAACGATAGAGGGAAGATTAGGGTTAAGGTTATGAGGTAAAAGGTTTTGGGGGATCGTTTAGGAATGAAAATTGATTCTTTAATGATGTCTTGGATGCTCAAGAATTGCAGTTCATCGGGAGGCAGATCCATTGGGTTACTGGGATTTCTGGGATCTCTTCAAATTGCACAGAAATGGGTTAAATTAGGTTTTTGAGATTGTTGCGTGGGCGTGCGGGTGGGGTGGAGTCTTGCTTGAGCTGGAGGAGAGCAATAGATCCAAGCTGGAGAAAGAGTCAAGGGCAAGAGAAGGTGGTGGAGGTGATGGGTACTATTTTTGGCGAGTAAATTTCACCACACATGTTACAAATTGTACGAAATGGCACGAAAAATTACGAATTGATACAAAAAGGTACGATCCATTCCGAAATGATAAGTTCAACAAATGTTAAATTGATAATTAAAGTTACTTCATGGCTCATTTATCCTTTGATTGAGTCTCATTATATTGAAAAAATATATTTTATAATAGTGATTTTTTTGAAAATTTTGTGATTAGAAAACGAGAAAAGTTTTGAATTTACATATAAATTACTTTATTATAAGAATATGTAGTTGAAAATAAGTTTAAAAAAAATGAGTTTTGAATCAATGGAGCTCAAATAGAGACTTAATCCCTAAAGTTAAACAATAATTCATAAATATTGATTCCGAATACAATTAATGTTATATTTTATATAGCAGTGATTAAATATTTACTTTAATTATCTACAATTAAAGATATCCTTCATTCAAATTGCACTTCTCTTGTAGACCCGTCTCTACCTTTTACATTTTATTAGTGATTTAAAAAAGAAAGTTAGAGCCGAAGGGAGTTATTTTGGAAGTTTTGACTGAATGTAAGGCTTTTTTTCGTAAGAATTGTACTTTAGGTTGAAAATTTGTAATTTGAAGACAATGATCATTTCTCTACGTAAAGGTTCAAACAGTCTCTAGATTTTCATAAAGAGTGATGAATTATGTAATATTATTTAACTGGGTGATTAAATTGTTCAAAAAAAAATAAAAAAATTTATTGATGAATTTGAAAATTCACTTAAACTTCAAGGACCATTTGTGAAATTAACTATTTGATGAATCTGTGTACTGTCCACCGCCATATCCGCAGAAGTGTCTTGCAGGGTCAATTTTGTACTTGCACTGATACATAAAACGCGTGTTATACTCATTATACTTCAGGTAAGACGATTTTATGAGTCGTGTAGGTATATCGAAGAAAATTCTAGCAATTATAAGTGATGAAATATGCCTGATTTCTACAATTAATTAAAATAATTGAAACTAAGTCCCCAATAAGATTTCAGTGATAATTAAAGATTTCGTTTAAGGCAAATTTAAATTCAATTAAGACTTGAGATGCTCATTTTGTGCACTTTCTTGAAAAAGTAAGATTCATCATAAATGAGAAGAAAAGTTTGTATTTTCCCACTCTGAACTAATATCGCGTATCGTTTTCGTGAAGAAAACTTGATGTATATGCTAAACTCATAAAATTTAATACTCCTTCCGTCCCATTTATATAAGCTTGTTTTGTTTTTCACAGAGATTAAGAAATCGTATGTAATGTCATTAAAAAAATATTTTTTGTCAAAAAATATCCTAGTTTACCTTATTTATATTTATACAATTTCAAGAATAATTAGGAGAAACCAAATATAATTATGCAAATTAAGTAAGAGTATATTAGTAAACGAACAAAACAAAACATTCTTAATAAAGAAACAAGACTATATAATTGGAACGAGAAAATAAGGAAATGTAGCATATATAAATTGGACGAAGAGAGTAATAAATTAAATTGACCAATGTTAAAGCAACATTGTCGATAATAATAATATTATTCGATCTATCTAAATTTCAAACGGCAAAAAGATTTCAAGATTATTTTGTCAATCAATTTTCGATGAGGTATTATAAATAAATTCATAAATATAGTAACTGTCATCCTAGTTTTAATTTAACCAAGAGTACACCGTTGAAGAACTAATTAACAATTTCATGCTATAATCATTATTTCAATAGCACAGTTAAATTAGGTAGTGTAGGCATCGAAGGTAGACTGGAGATGTTTGGAATTTCCAAGTTTGGAATGTTATGAATTTGAGGGAGTGATGGTGCAAATGGAAGTTGTGGAATTATAGGAGGGAAAGGATGATTTAGCAAAATCTTGTTACTCAAATCATAGAATTCGAGGGAAAGATCTCATCAGCGATTCAGCATACAAGTCGATAAAATCTAAAGGCAAGATGCAAAAGTAAAAAGCTTGAATTATATAGGGGGCAGTGACCCCATATTAGTTTAGTAAAGTAAAGCTCCAAAAAATGACATATTAAGCTGCGGTGCAGATTTAACTCAACTAAGAAAGGACCTCTTCGATTGGTCATATACAAGGATGAGTATTGAATAAGAGTTTTGCTACACATATCCAGAATTTGATACTCCGGGTTACCTGCTACTCACATGGGGTCGGGGGGCCCCACGCCAATAAATGTGTCGGCCTTGACTCCTTCACTCACATCAGGTAACACTCGGGTACAAATAACAAAATTCATGAATAAAGGGCTATGAGAGTTAGATAACAAAACTCATTGAATGAAGGGCTATGAGAGTTGTGCCATCATAGATGACTAATGAGAAATTTGAAGAGTGCCTTTATAATTCTACAGACGAACATTAATTTCTTATGTATGTATAAACTTGCAACCAATAGTAATTTCAGTGTTTGAATGTAACAAAAGAGCAAGGCAAAACATCCATATAACTTGTGCTAATTTACCTTACTGGACAAATGCTATTTATTGCCACTTCTCATGATTACAGCCTATTTTTGTAGCAAAAAAAAATCATTCTACCCAATAACTTTATGGGTCGAGATCTAATGTCCTATTGTGCTGCTCATCCAATTAATTCTTGACATTTAGTACATTTGTAGTGAAGTTGATGAGCCTAAATTCGAAATAACATGTTAATCATTGACGGCGGCGGTGGACAGGAGCGAGAAGGCAAAAAGGAAGATGAGGTAGCAGAACTGGAAAATAAGGAGCTTGGACCATTCGGAGGAGGCGGCACGGGACCCAGCTGGCTCGGACTGAAGCTGAGTGAGGATAGGGTGGGTGAAGAGCGAGTGGGCCAAGATGGCGAACGATAGAGGGAAGATTAGGGTTAAGGTTATGAGGTAAAATGTTTTGGGGGATCGTTTAGGAATGAAAATTGATTCTTTAATGATGTCTTGGATGCTCAAGAATTGCAGTTCATCGGGAGGCAGATCCATTGGGTTACTGGGATTTCTGGGATCTCTTCAAATTGCACAGAAATGGGTTAAATTAGGTTTTTGAGATTGTTGCGTGGGCGTGCGGGTGGGGTGGAGTCTTGCTTGAGCTGGAGGAGAGCAGTAGATCCAAGCTGGAGAAAGAGTCAAGGGCAAGAGAAGGTGGTGGAGGTGATGGGTACTATTTTTGGAGAGTAAATTTCACCACATTGTTACAAATTGTACGAAATGGCACGAAAAATTACGAATTGATACAAAAGGTACGATCCATTCTGAAATGATAAGTTCAACAAATGTTAAATTGATAATTAAAGTTATTTCATGGCTCATTTATCCTTTGATTGAGTCTCATTATATTGAAGAAATATATTTTATAATAGCAATTTTTTGAAAATTTTGTGATTAAAAAACGAGAAAAGTTTTGAATTTACATATAAGTTACTTTATTGTCAGAATGTACAGTTGAAAAGAAGTTTTAAAAAAGTGAGTTTTGAATAAATGGAGCTCAAATAGAGACTTAATCCCGAAAGTTAAACAATAATTCATAAATATTGATTCCGAATACAATTCATGTTATATTTTATATAGCAGCGATTAAATATTTACTTTAATTATCTACAATTAAAGATATCCTTTCATTCAAACTGCACTTCTCTTATAGACCCGTCTCTGCCTTTTACATTTTATTAGTGATTTAAAAAACAAAGTTAGAGCCGAAGGGAGTTATTTTGGAAGTTTTGACCGAATGTGAGGCTTTTTTTCGTAAGAATTGTATTTTATGTTGAAAATTTGTAAGTTGAAGACAATGATCATTTCTCTACGTAAAGGTTCAAACAGTCTCTAGATTTTCATAAAGAGTCATGAATTATGTAATATTATTTAACTGGGTGATTAAATTGTTCAAAAAAAAATTAAAAAAATTTATTGATGAATTTGAAAATTCACTTAAACTTCAAGGACGGTTTGTGAAATTAACTATTTGATGAATCGGTGCACCGTCCACCGCCATATCCACAGAAGTGTCTAGTAGGGTCAATTTTGTACTTGCACTGATACATAAAACGCGTGTTATACTCATTATACTTCAGGTAACACGATTTTATGAGTCGTGTAGGTATATCGAAGAAAATTCTAGCAATTATAAGTGATGAAATATGCCTGATTTCTACAATTAATTAAAATAATTGAAACTAAGTCCCCAATAAGATTTCAATGATAATTAAAGATTTCGTTTAAGGCAAATTTAAATTCAATTAAGCCCCTGTTTGATCCCCCATTATCTGAAAATGAAAATGGGGGGAATAGTATTTTTTAGAAAAATGAGTGGTTGAAAAAGAATGAAAAGTTTTCGATTTACGTATAATATTATTTTATAGAAAATTGTGTGGTTGAAAATAGGATAGAGAAAAATAGAATGTAATGTAATTTAATTTAATGGGGATCAAACAGGGGCTAAGACTTAGGATACTCATTCGTGCACTTTCTAGAAAAACAAAAATAAGAGTAATAATAAATGAGAAATTAAACAAAAATTTCATTTATTGCAAATTTTAATTCAATTAAGACTTGAGATACCCATTTTGTGCACTTTCTTGAAAAAGTAAGATTCATCATAAATGAGTAGAAAAGTTTGTATTTTCCCACTCTGAACTAATATCGCGTATCGTTTTCGTGAAGAAAACTTGATGCATATGCTAAATTCATAAAATTTAATACTCCCTCCGTCCCATTTATATAAACTTGTTTTGTTTTTCATAGAGATTAAAAAATCGTATGTAATGTCATTAAAAAAATATTTTTTGTCAAAAACTTTCCTAATTTACCTTATTTATATTTATACAATTTCAAGAATAATTAGGAGAAATCAGATATAATTAGGCAAATTAAGTAAGAGTATATTAGTAAACGAACAAAACAAAACATTCTTAATAAAGAAACAAGACTATATAATTGGAACAAGAAAATAAGGAAATGTAGCATATATAAATTGGACGAAGAGAGTAACAAATTAAATTGACCAATGTTAAAGCAACATTGTCGATAATAATAATATTATTCGATATATCTAACTTTCAGACGGCAAAAAGATTTCAAGATTATTTTGTCAATCAATTTTCGATGAGGTATTATAAATAAATTCATAAATATAGTAACTGTCATCCTAGTTTTAATTTAACCAAGAGTACACCGTTGAAGAACTAATTAACAATTTCATGCTATAATCATTATTTCAATATCACAGTTAAGCTCGACAGAGTTTGCAAATACTAATACAAAGAGGGTAGAGATGTTGTTTCATTTATAACCATTGTAGCAACTCATTATTGATTTCTTAACCAAGTAAAAATTGGAAATTTGAGAAAAATTAGTCTCTTCACATAAATGTCATCATCAATACTTTATAAGTTTAACGACACCAAACAAGTTATCAATTAGCCAATAAGTACAAAATTTATACTGGAACGGAGGTGGTGTGAAGAAAAGAATGTTGGGAATATCAAACGGTGGGAAGGGAGGAAAATTAGGTAGTGTAGGCATCGAAGGTAGACTGGAGATGTTTGGAATTTCCAAGTTTGGAATGTTATGAATTTGAGGGCGTGATGGTGCAAATGGAAGTTGTGGAATTATAGGAGGGAAAGGATGATATAGCAAAATCTTGTTACTCAAATCATAGAATTCGAGGGAAAGATCTCATCAGCGATTCAGCATACAAGTCGATAAAATCTAAAGGCAAGATGCAATAGTAAAAAGCTTGAATTATATAGGGGGCAGTGACCCCATTATATATATATATATATATATATAATACTATTTACTATGTAAAATTATAACTGAAAATATCCTATAATTACTCTCATTGCATATTATATATATCTAATATACTTTGTAACTAATGAATCCAAAAAAGGCCTAGATGATGGCGGTATTAATTGGTACATACTATTACCCACACACACACACACAATACTATTTATTATGTAAAAATATAACTGAAAATACTACTTTCTATAATTACTCTTATTGCATATTATATTTATCTAATATACTTTGTAACTAATGAATCCAAAAAAGGGATAGCCGCATAGATGATGGAGGTATTAATTGACAGTATTTTAAAAAGTTCGTCTAGTTGTCGCCTAGGTTTATGCTTAGATGCTTTTTTTTCCAATTCTTAAACGGTTAAATTTTTTCATTCCTCTCTTTTGTCTTCTCTAGGCGGACTTTGTTTTATTATTTTTTAAAGTTTTTTTTCTTGTTTTTAAAGTATTCTTTTTGACTTTAGCTTATTAAACTTTTTTTTTTTTTAGTTGTTAAAATATCTTTTCATTTGACTTTAATTTCAAAATTTTAAAAGATTTTATCTATTCAAAAGTTAAAAATGACTCTAAATAGTTAAATAAAATATAAGATATGGTGTTATCTAAGTTATGCAATTATGATATTGAGACTCGCGGTTTTGTTGCAAACTCAAAAAGCATGTATGTAGTTTTTGTAAATCTATTTGACTTATTTAGTTGAAATTATAACTATGAAAAATATTTTAATTTTTGCATTTTGAAAATTTAAAAATTGTATAATTGACTAATGGTATGAATTATTAAGTAAATATAGTATTTTACTATTCTAGATGTTTGATATATATTATTTTAATTGGTAATTGATTTTTAAAATGTTTAAAAATTTAAAATAATATTAAAAATAAGAAAACATTATTTTACACTTAAGTCTTGTCTGGGCTCGCTTAAATTCGTAAAGCTTGAAGTTTCACCTTCAAGTCCACTCCAAATTAATCTCTACTTCGAAAACATAACCATGGGAAATGACTAATCTCTATTTCAAAAACACAACCATGGCAAATGACTAGCAATGATGAACGTAGAACTTTAAGTTTGCATCTTCTTCATCTCGTGGAATCGGCCATGAACAATCTTCGAATCAAGTTATGGACTCGAATTTCTTTTTCATCCATAGCTGGATATTCTTGCACTGTTAGAATAATCTAAGAAATCAATGCAATTTCATTTTTTTTTTACATCAATTAGAAGCATAATCGATTTGAAAAATATAACGGAGAATCAATTCAATTACGATATGTCACTATATTTATTTATTTGTTTTATTCACATTCAGAGATATTGTTATGTCTTTTACAACATTGGCAGTCGACACCACATACGCAAACCACGTGGCAGCCAAGCCTTGTGGGACGAACCTATGAGACTGCCGAACCCATGTTGGGGCTGAACTCTTGAGGCAAGGCTAAAGGAAACTAAATAACAGGTCTAGTAGGAAATCTTTGAAAATGGATCTATTGAAGTGGCTAATATGACAATTCCCTACCACTGTTACCACTGTCAGCCTATTTGGTTAATTCTACTGCCACAGGCCACAACTGATGGAAGAAGAATCAGTTCTAGGATTAATAGTTTGGGATTTTGATGCTCATGATGGGAACTTATACCCACGTGGATGAGGCAACGTGTCTTCTCATTTGACGGTCCTCACTCATTGTTTCATGCTATAAAAGCTTTCACTTGGTGTCATTTCAAAGATAATGCAAGTTTAGACTTTGATATTATAACTTTGCTTTCTACATTTTCCATTTCACTCCTAATACCACCTCCTTTATTTTAAATTAGAGGCTCACGTTAAAAGTCCTTCCACACTCAATGCAACTAGTTTCCCAAAAATGACTTGACCATCAAAGTACTTGCGGCCAGCTCCATTCCCGTCAAAGAAGGCCACGCGTGTCTAATGGTTTCGGAGTCAACAGATTGGCGCCGTCTGTAGGAAACCACACATTACAACCATGAGTATCCCAGGGAAAAAGCCATCTTCAAATACACTGTGCAGCAACAAGACCTTGAAGAAAAGTCTAGCTCCTTGAAGAAAGATTAGCAAAAGAAGCATTGGAAAGGTACCTACTAGTTGCTAACATAGGGATCGATGATACGCCATGAGTTCTAGCCATTACGGCTTCAAAGCAGAGGCCACCATCAGGAGGCTTCTGAGGAAGAAATCCTCCAAGAAAATGTTACCATCCGTCAGCCCCACCACCTACATCGGAGAGGTGGAACCACTGCATTCTTGGCAAGAGAGGTAATGAAAATGGCGAAAAATATGAGAAACATAACTCAACAAAACTCTACTTTGCAACAATTGCTCATACAGATGTAGGGGC